TTTGACAATTCGGAGCTGTCGGACGAGTGCCATGCTTCTGGGCCGACAAGTCCAATACCTGACTCAATGCTGACAACACGTGGGCGTTGCACCTGCGAACGCCCCTTCGGGACTGCGCCCTCTAGATTCATGGGTACGTGGACAGCAAGCGGGATTTTGTGAATAGGGCCTTCTAGGAGTTCCTGCGAGGGCAGGACTTCACTGCAATCCTTAAAAATGACATGCAATATTCCATACTCTGTTGCAGTTTGTCCTGAATCGGGTCCTCCAAACAAGGTGATCCATAACGTGATCCTCAAGGTTCTCAAGTCGGTCGAACTTTGCAATGCTGAGAGAGACATTTCTGTCACGCCCGAGGAAGGTCAGTACCAAACGGCAGTTCATCACCGGCTCTCTTTTCAGAAAAAGTGGTTCCACAAGATTCGGCAAGCTCGATAGAGGGTAACGTGCGTGCAGTCGCCATTTGAGCTGTGTGTGAGCAGGTTGGTTTTGCTCCTCAGCTGAGACATGGGTCCTAACACTCCGAGCAAAAAGACATCACCAGGGATGGCATGCCCATCCAGGACAGGTGCTAAGGCACCCGCCGTGGTTCCTTAACGCACTGTCTTGGGGTCAGGGGAATTCCGTACAACAGTCACAGAGTGTATGTTTACGTTGCATTTTGGCGCCAACGTAAAATTGAAAAGTGCAATAGAGGCAAAAAGTGGGGCGTGGAAAAGACAAGGTTTGTCGCAAGCAAGGAGGTATGTGAAATTTGATGGATGAGGAAATGGAGATGCTTTATGGCGCACTTGCGCATCCAGAAAATGAAAATGGTGGCTTCGGTTTTTCAGCTCCGCGAATGAGAAATCAGCAGATCTTTGAAGCCAATTCTGGCTTCAAAATTTGCCTTCTACGCTTCCATTTTTCAATGTTTGAAGCCAAAACTGGCTTCAAATTTGAGGCCGTTTTTGGCTCCAAAAATCGGGTCGGTCTCTACGGTTTTCAAGCGTGCCCTGGGACTTTTTTTTGCGTCTGTGCCCATCCAGCCACAAAGCTGGAAAGTCACCTGGCTCAACCAAAGCTTTAGCTGTGTTTGCTTTGGTCGGATGACGTGCAGAAGCCACTTGTTGGAACTGAACCGGTCTCGGAATTTCTGTTGTGTTTTTGAGGCTAAGTTTGGCTTCGAGGAAAGAAGCAAGTTTATGGGTAGTTTCGATGTCTAGCATATGTACCCTATAGCGCAGTTTGATGTGTGAGGTGGAACCATTGAGGTAGTAGGTGTTGGGTGAGTTAGGTGTGGAAGTTGTGGGGGGGTTGTGAGGGATGCGTCAAAAGCGCCATCTTTGCCAAGTCACCCACTTCCTTGTCATCTTTCCAATAGCTGCCCCCCCTACCCCCTAGACTCCTAACACATGAACATGTTGCGAGGTTTTTAGAAGAGACGTGGAGGAGTGAGTTCCCTGTATTATATAGTAGTATATATTTAAAACAGGGTGGAGGAGTAATTATATTGGAGGAAACAAGCGGAGGAGCATTACACTCCTCCACATTTTGTTGTTGTGTAAGAGAGATCATTCCGTTTCACAAGCTGTTTTTTGTGTTTTCTTGAGTAGAATTTCAGCGGGGGAGCGGAGGAGTGGTTACGAAGATGTCAATTTTGGGTGTGGGCACGGGAATTTCATGATTGGTAGAAGTTTTGTTGACTCCGTTTCTGGCCTCAAAACAACTTGCAATTCTTTAGACCGACCAGAGTACCCCCTCAGAAAATGCGTTGTTGTTGTGTCTGCACGAGTCGGTCAATCTCCCCCAAGTCAAGGGGAGTATAGCATCTGAATTGCTCTCGCCCACAAAAGGCCCGGATGCGTGTTTCCTGGAGCTCGGTCTGAATGATCACCTCTTGGAGCGCTATGCAGCTGAGGGATTTGCGTTAGGCGTGGCGGCAGCCAGATGTGGGTCATGGCCACACATTGGGCGAAGGTGGGTAGTGCCAAGCATCACCAAGGTTCCCCCTGGGCGCCGGCCGCGCCTGAGCACCGATATGCCTCTCGTTTCGTTCGTGCAATCAGTTGAAAGGGTTGTGCAATGAGAAGGAACTTTTCCATGGCATGCTTGCGCTGCAACTCCTGATTCCCTTGGCAAGAATCAGGGTCGCTGACAAAGCTGTTCTGCCAAGGACCTCCCGAATTATGATTGCCACTCGGGGTAGTGGCCTTTTGACTGCCTTTTTTTTGCAATTGTGTGAGTGATGCAAAGCCCCTTTGATTGGCTTCGCCACATCTCGATCGTGCGCTGACCTCTCCTGACAGTTCGCATCATGAATTCAGGCCCATAGGTAGTTCTTTGCCATCTTTTGTTTCACCTGTTTCACCTCCGTACAGTGGAAACACCTCGCGATGGTGGGAACTCGGCTTCTGGCCGGTTTTGGGTTTGCTTGTGGTTGGTTTGGGTTTTGCTTGTGTTTCATTCCCCACCATTATCAGGCGTTTTCTTTCCTTTCAATGATGACCTGGGCACTCCGCCCACATGGCGTCCGCACTCGTGGAAAAAATGGAAAACGCAAGCATTGAGGAGCGTTCGTCACAGTGGAGGCCAATTAGGAGCTCTTCAATTTAGCACTGGCTCGGTCATGATCTTTGATACAAGTTCCGTCTTGCCTGGCTCCGAAACTGGCCTAGAAAGCAACTCACACTTGCATCCAGTTTTGCTCGACAATGACTGAGGGCACAACACCCCCTCGATGAAACACCAGCTTCCCATGAGGCAGGAAGCTGTTCGATGATGGACATCTTGTGCTGAGTGCTGCCAGGATCTTGAATTCATTGCCCCGTCTCACCTCTGTGTTAGATCTCTGGATCTTCACTTTTTTTCTCACATTTCAAGCGGATATGAGCCAGCTCCGTTTCGGTTTCCTTTGGGGGGGCGGTTTGGGTGTGCTTTTTTGTTTTGGTGGTTGGGCTTTGGTGTGTTGGCCTCTTTGGTTCTGGCTCGTATCCTCGCATCCGACTCTTCGAATTCATCCAAGGTGACTTGCGCCTCTCGGCACACACAGCGCCCGTACCCGTGCAAAAAAAAATCCCATGGAATTGAGACTGACCATGTTTCGCTCTTCTTTCTCGTCTCACTTTTGCATGACTTGCATGAGTTGCTTGCTGCCAGGAAGCTTGCTTTTCCCTTTGTTGGGTTTTGGTTTTTGTTTGGTTTGGTTGTTGGTTGCTTGTTTCATTTCTAGCTGGTATTTCACTCATCCGCAGCACAAGATGACCTGTGCAATTTGTGCACACATGGCGTCTCCACCATGCAAAAAAACTGAAAACTGGCCTTCGCAGCAATTGATTGCCCAGGAATTGTCTCACATCGACTTCATTGCAACGCAAGATGAGCGTGCAAAAAATGAACGCAGAAAAATCGGATGCAAACGAAAGCGTGTGGCAGCACAAAAGTTTCGCTGTCCAAGCATGCCGTGAAGAGACAAGTGTGCAGAGAATGCACAGGTCATCTTGTGTCTTGAAAGTGAGTCTACTGCCAGGAAAAGAAAACCAGGCAGAGCAAACCACCACAAACAAAACCCAAAACCAAACAAACAAAGAAATCTGGCCCGACACTGGACTCAAGTGGGTCATGCAGCGGTGAAACATGGCGAGAAGGGTGAAACAAACTGGGGGCGCCAAATGCAAAACGGCCTCTCTTCGAGTTGTCCATATCATGAAGATTCAAAGGTCGACAGCAAACTTGCGGAGGAGGTGTTAGGGTGCACTCGTGCCGCCTGGACTCCTGACGCGTGTTTGTGGAGGAGTGAGTTCCCTGTATAACTTAGTAGTATTTACTTAAAGCAGGGTGGAGGAGTAATTATATTGGAGAAAAAAACGGAGAAGCATTGCACCCCTCCACAGGTTGTTGTTGCGTAAGAGAGATCATTCCGTTTCACAAACTGTTTTTGGTGTTTTTCTGAAACAACAATTCAGCGGAGGAGCGGAGGAGTGGTCACGAAGATGTCAACTTTGGGTGTGGGCATGGGAACTCCAGATTGGTAGAAGTTTTGTTGATGCAGTTTCTTGCTTCAAGATGACTTGCAATTCTTCAGACCAACCAGAGTTCCCCCTCAGTGTGTGACACTCACTCTAGTAGGACACTCTTGCGAAGCACTCTTGTCGGACACTCTTGCGTGTCGCTCTTGTGAGACACTCTCGTAGAACACACTTGTATGGCACTCTCGCGGGACAATCTTGTAGGACACTCTTGTGGGACACTCTTGTAGAACACTCTTGTAGAACATTCTTGTGGGCCGCTCTTGCAAAACACTATTGTGGGACACTCTTCTCACTCTTGTGGGACGCTTCGGTAGGACACTCTAAGCGAGTGTTCCACAGAAGTGTCTTGCAAGAGTGTCCTACAAAAGTGTCTCCCACAAGAGTGCAAAACATTGTTTGGGTGTTTGTTTTCGATGCGTTTTGCATTCGGGTTTGTGGGTTCTATCTTGCTTCTTGGGAGTGGCTTCTTTGGATACCAAGCCACTTGAGCCCATCCTGCACTGGTGAAATCTTCTGTCATTCACGGCTGGGAAGACTGAGGTGGTGGGGTTTTTGCAGTCAAACCGTGTGGGGTCATCCTGACCCTTGTCAAGGTTTGTGGGCAAGGCCGCAAGAGTCGACAAGAGTTCGTACAGCTGCAATGGACCTTGAGTGCTAGTGGTCCAGGTCCATTGCAGCTGCACGAACCTTTGTCACACAGCAGATCGGGCATTCGGGCTCATTTTTTTTGATCCTTTTTGCATCTGGCACCGCTAGACCTGCCTCGCGCAAATGTATTGTGTCGGCGTGGGGGTATTGCAGCGTTCCAGATGAGTTTCTCATCAAGGCTTACATTCTAGGCTACCGACTTCAAAGTCTTGAAGATGGCTGTGCTGTTGAGAGTCTCAGTTCGTGCATGGGTGCCTTCTTAAGGGTTGGAGGGTGTGTCTCCCCTTAAGAATTAGAGACACGCAGATGGATGCAACTCAAAACAAACCTTGTAAAGGCTGTTCACAAGGTCCATTCCAGATGTCTCTCACTGTGCGCCATGGTTTAATGCTGGGAACATGGTGGAAAATCTCTGCGCGTGAGTTCTCCACAGTGCGCCAGGAAACATTGGCAGCAAAGGTTGCATAGCTACATTTACTACAATTTTGGTTTTGTTTTGTTTCTTGGTTTTCGCATTTGGGGCATACTTGGCCATCAATGGTGCATGAAAACATTGCCCTTTAGCTGCGTCGGCTGTTTGCCAAGGTTGCAAAATATGCCGCCAAGAGGCCAAACCCGGTGAACATTCAAAGTTGGATGAGCGAATTCGGGCAACCGAAGCAATTGGCAGAGTTTTTGTGCCATGAAATGCCCATCCGGTATGCTGAACGAATCCGGTGCATTGAACTTTGGCAAAACATTCAATCTAAGAACCTGTTTGTCTGGCTTGAAGGTGCATAACAATTTCCAAGTGTGCGCCCGAATGTCACAGAATGCTTCATAGGGGGAGAACAGTGTTCCGTTGTTTTTTGCATTCAATCAAGCTTTGTCAGAGAGTCTTTGTGCTTAATTGTTGTGCTTGATTGTTACATGTATTTCAAAAGTCTTAAGATTAAACATGGTTGCTAAGGAAACAATCTCTGAGTGGAGACACGTGGAGGAACTCGCTGCCGTGCACGACATCCAACTGAATGCGTTTGAAACATTTTCTCAACAGCAAAGGAGCCTCCAGGGTGGGCAGAACAGTGTTTCCGTTTGATTTTTTCGCTGTGGCTGTGCCATGCTGTGCCACAAGATTATTGTTGGTCCTTTCTTGTTGGAACCTGGGGCTTTGCTGCGCTCAACTCCTGGTTTCTCCTGTAAAGTGCTCAATTATACTTGTTGTGTTTACGTTGCCTTGTGTGTAGGTTGACTAGGCTGTTTTAGAAGTGTGGAATTTGGAATGTCTGATTCCTTGGTCTTCATTGTTTTTTTTCCTGTTCATTTCAATATTCCTGACAGGTTGGTAGAATGAAGCCAATCCAGAAGTTGAACCCATTATCTCCAGACTTCAGCTGCGGGTTACAAACTCGTGCACCACGTCCACTCAGTTGCTTCACTAGTTATCCTTCATCAAAGTTGTTGTGCAAGGAGATTGCAAGAAATCCATCGCATGACGCTGCATGTTAGCATATGTGGATGTCAACGAAGTCGGTTCATGACTCAACAGCCATCTTACAATCTCAAACACAAACATTGTTGGGTGAACTCTTGAAGAACCGCTGCAGGACTCAGTGGGAGGATGCTTCACAGTTCAAGGCGATGGTAGAGGATGTGCAGTTGGAAGACAGACGAACCAAGTTTTTGCTGATGCAGGCAGGATTGTTCCTGCGATGATATCCACTCAAAGTTTCTTGAAGGTTGCAGTGGTGGGAAGAACTGGGTTGCTTGAAAAAGCTAACTGGCTGCTTGAGCATATGACAACTTTTGCAGTTTGCACGAGTGGGCCGTGCCAGGCAGCTCAAAAGCTGCGGGCTCAACGCCAGAGCGACAGCTTTACTGACCCATTTTCTCTCGAACTGAACAAGTTCTTAGATGATTTTCTCTTAAGCCGCTTGGGTTGCAACATGCTCATGGGTCAATACCTGGCATGCACTACCTCACGGTCCAGCATAGTAAACCCACAGTGTGACGCCTTCGAAATTTGTCAGAAGGCTGCGGACGAGGTGAAACGAAGGTGCCGCAATTCTCAAGGCCGTGTGCCTTTGTTGAATGTTCGGGCCTTTACGATGTCTGGGCAAATGGCAACTGAAGGCCACGTGCCACGCTTCTCTTACATTCCAGGTATTCTCATGCACGTGGTGCGGGAGTTGCTGAAAAATAGTTGTCAGGCAAGTCTGGAACTGGCCAAGTCAGAGGCTGAACTTGAGGATATGCCCATTGATGTCATTGTCTGCGCCGACAAGCAACATGTGGTGATTCGAATCACTGACTGTGCTCGGGGAATTCCCAGACATGTTGGAAGCAAGATTTGGTCGCCACTCAGCTGTAGCTGGCTAAAAGCAGCTCCCTCTCTCTCTCTCTCACTCTCTCTGACACGTTAAGTTTGATTGGCATTTGGCGTGACAATGTTTTCCGCATTTGATAGGCGATTGTGGGTATGTTGAAAGGCCTTTTTCGCTTATCAGCCCAGCTCTGCATGTCATTGTCTTGGTCTTGAGGTATCTCTACAGCGGCAGCCCAACGGCGATGACTGGACTAAGCTTCGGATATGGCATTGGATCCTGTTTCTATTGTGGGAGACTTTTATCCTTTTTTTGGTGTTAAAGGTTTCGAGTTCAGAAATCCAGTGACCCAAATCCCTTTTTTTCCTCTCATGGCAGCCTGGGATGTCGCAGCGTGAGAGGACTTTTTCATGAGCCAACCATGAGAAAGAGCTGCTATATAATCATTGGAAGGGGGGTCAGTTTGCCTCCTCACCACCCTTGGGCATGTGAAGGATTGCCGCTGTCGCGACTGCATGCGAGATATTTGGGCGGCTCTCTTGACCTTGTGTCCCTCCCAGGGTATGGGGTCGATGTGACCTGGCGAGAAATTGGAGGGCCTTTTGTTACTAGTAGCGTCCTTGCTCCTAGTAGTAATGCCAGGAGCCCCTAGTGGCGATGCCCTTTGCTCCCAGTAGCTTCTTGCTCCTAGTAGTAGATACCATCTCATGGACCAGTGCTCTTTTTGCTGTCAATTCGGGTGCTTGTCGGTGGTTTGGGAGGGAGGACAAAGCTTAGATTGTTGACGGATGAGGGATGAGTGGAAACAAAAAGAGTCCTGCTGGTGGATTTACTGCCATCTTTTCTTGGCTTGTTTGAGGCATATCTGAGCCTACCCCGGGTCGAGACTGATCTCGTGGAAACGATCCCTGACAATGTGGAGCAGGATGCAACAGAAGTTTCGCAGCAGATCAATTTGCTCACTTTGTGAAGTGTCAACCACGAAGATGATCCGATTGTAAGCGGAATACCGAGAACACATTTGGCATTGGATTAGGTTTGATAGATGTACATAGAGAGCTCAGGCAGTGGCTCGCTCTTAATCGGACTGAAGCCAATGTGCCCAGCAAAAGTGATTACATTACATTGAGCCATTGAGCACTTACTGTATATAGTTTGCCAGAGCGACGTGTGCTGTTATTGTCCTGGGTCGCGGGCTGCCACTATGTTCAAATGTATACACTGCAGCTTCAAATGGCTCAAAGGGTTACTGTAACCCTCAGAACAAAAGTTGCACCAAATTGTTGCCACCACCGACCCACCTTTGACATATTTTCTTCTTTCATGCTTTTGTCCATGAGAATGACCCACTTTCGGCATTGACAGAATGACATAACAGAGGGCACACGAACCCTCTTGCTTGTCATGGACTTTGGCTGCGAAGGAGACCGGCGAGGGTTCCAGTGTTGTGCAACCAGTACAGTCTGAAGGGGGCGTTTCCCGTCAAATTGGTAATCTCGGGCAGGATCACGAAAGTGACCTTTTTGGAGGTTAGGTTGAGTTTGATTTACATCGAAGAAAAGGAATGGCGAAGATTGGCTTGGTTGGATGCAGAATGTGGAGAAGGAATGACAACAGGAAGGGACCCCTACCCCACCTGGTCTTGTATTCCCTACTTTGCCGCGTATTACACCATGATGTCAATGATGCCGGCAGGTGTTTTCCTCGAAACCCTCGCAGGAAGCGAGCAAACTTTCAATGCATTGGCCGCTCCTTCTCGCTCCTAGTGAAGTAACTAGCATGACCATCCCGGCAGCCCTTGAGGTGCTGCGACTCAGGCTGGAGTGGATTTCATTCGCTCGCTTGGTTGTCTTTTGTTTTGCTTGCCTAATTTCACTTCCCTCTCTCATTGCCTCTCGCCTTACTTCCTGTGTGTACCTGCTGTCATATCACCATGAAGCTCGTCTCGTCACACACGTTTTCATCTAATCTTGTTACTTGCTTAGGTCCCAGACCATCCTCAAGTCCTTGTTGTCCACGTCCGCAGACCTTGGGGAAACTCTCTTGCTAAGCAGGACATGATGTGGTACTAGTGCCCCGGCAGCTGCTGCTTGAGGCGCTCAGCGTGTCCGGAGGAATCTGTTGAAACCTTTGTAGCTTCTAGCTACTAATAGCGATGCCGCTGCCCTTGTTACTAGTAGCTTCTAGCCTTCTAGCTACTAGTAGTAATGCCCTTGTTACTAGTTGCGATGCCCTTCTTACTAGTTTCCAAGTTTGCAACCATGTGTACAATTTAGTATGGTTGAATGTCCATCACCTTGCTTTCCAATGTCACGAAAATCACTGGTGAGGTCATCGCCGATGGCTGCTGCCCAATTCATTTGCGCATGCAGCTTTCGAGGGCTGATGCCTCAGCAAAATCCAGGAGTCGGATCTGCTTACTCTGGAGCTCTTAAACTTTAGACGCACCAAAAATTGGGACTGGAAGAGACAATCGGTGTAACTGACAAGTTGATCATGAAATGCTACTCACTGAGAGGCGCTTGCACAACGGTGTCCCTGTCTTTGTACAGTTTGACGAAGGGTGATGCAAACACGACTATGTTAGACAAGAAAGGGCCGACCCTGTGTTTCGTTGATCACCAACATGTATATCGACGGCAATGAGTATTGAAGTCAAGAGTATAAATCAGTTGGTTTAAAAGAAGGGAGGCAACCTTGAAGGATTAGGATGATGCTTCAGGTGAGGTTTTACGCATCCAAGGCACTGACTAGCCTTATTTCTTGCCTCGAAAAGAGAAGAAGTTGTTCTGGACAAGCAAGCGGGTCAACCTGTTATTGATGATGCTTTGCAAAATACATTCGAGTTGAGTAGACAGTAGACATGTTTGTTCCTATTTCGCTGTGCGGTCGATGACTTACGATGCATTGCTTGGACTTTCACCTGCATAACTGTCCGTTTTCATGAGGTGTCTGAAACTGATGTGGACACAAGTAGGACTATGATCATGCTTCAGCAAAAGAGACGATTCCTTAAATATCGTGTCTTTGAACTTTGCCTTTGTTTGTTCTTGGTATTCATGCTCTGGTTCAGTCACGTTGACATTTTGCCGCATTGTCTCGCACGTCTCGCACAGCGGAATGGCACTTTTCGTGCAGAACTGTGCCGACTAAGCTGAGGTGGTTGACGGGGGGTCCTGCTCCTCAAGCCAAAGGCGGATACCTGCCTTATGCCAGTCTGAGAATCGAAGATCAATTGTATAAGGCAACTTTTTCCAGATTTCACAGAGTCAAAGGATCCTTCTACACTGCAGGATGTTGACCTCGGTGGAGCGCTTGGGTGCCGAGGAGAGGGGACGAAGGCTAGAGACATCTCGAATGCGAATGTTTGGTTTGGACGAACAAGAAGCTACTAGGTGGAGGCCATCGCTACTAGCAACAATAAAGCTTTCATTTTTAGGTAATTATTGGTAAGTACGTTTGAACGGGTTGGAGAAGCGATGTTGAGAGATTCGTCTCATCTCAGGACGATCCTCAGACCAATCAGCCTTTTTGCATAGGCACTGGAGATTCTTACGACGATCCTTTTGGGTGTTTGCGATGTGTCAGTCTGGTCGGGGAATGCAAGAACAAGGTTCTCTCTGGCTAGAGCATATGATGTCCGCGGATCTTCTAACCAACTCACATGAAGCTTTTCCATGCCTTGTCCAGGTCACTCCAATCTGAAGGTGCCGTCTGCAAAGAAGGGCTGTGGGGCTTTGATTGAACCAGATGGATACTGGTGGTGTTGAAGCAGAGACGATTTTGCATGAACTGTAGAATACAGGATTCGCACTCAGCGGTTGTCCCGACTTTTTGTTCAATATTTATGTCAGAAGGCTGTAGGCAACGTTCATCAATACGGGCACACACCACTCAAGGGCTTGGCTCAAGTAGCGCATTTGACTGCACTACATGCAAGGTGAGGTCCTCAACCGCAACAGACCAACCCTTATTTGTAATATATAAATTGTACCTTTTTTGACAAGAATAACACCCTCCAAGTAAGATGAGTTTAGTGCAATTTTCTCCAGGCTTGGCTTCAGATTTCCTTTCGACCTCCACAGTTGCAAGCAGATGAATCATTTGAGGGATGAGAGACTCATCCAGTGAAGTGAACAGATTGAAGTAAATCTGAGATCACCAACTTTGACATGGCAAAGTACTCCGCTGGAGTCTAGCCGCTAGCCTTGGTGTTGGGGTTTGCCCCGGCGACATTGCCCGAATGCAGTCTTTCTATGGCAATTTCGTGGCGGTTCCAGAGGGCACAGCGGGTGGGTTCTGCAGCGGAGGGAGTCGGAGCAGCAGTTGCCCACCTGCGCGGTTGGGGGCCGTGTCGACTGGAGGCCCAAAGTCAGTCTTTGCACCTGTTACTACTAGCGTGGCACTTGTTTCTAATAGCTTCTTGTTACTACTAGTAAGGCACCTGTTCCTAGCGTGGCACTTGTTCCTAGTAGCGTGGCACTTGTCAATGAAAGCAGAAGACTTTTCATGCGTTGACCTCAGTACCCGAGCACCCATAAAGGTCTTCTTCAATTACCATCACATGCTGAGAACCATCCGGCATTTCGAAATAATCGGGTTGGTTTGTAAAGATCCTTCTTGTTTCATTCGGTTCCTTCCAGGTGATCGGCACTCTTTCTACGACAGCTTCTGGCCAATAGCCAAGGTGGCACCCCCAATTTTCGTCTCCTCTGTGGGGCGTACAGAGAGCGCCCTGGCTTTGGATCGAAGGCTGAGGGCCTGTGAGGCAATCCCCGCGCTCGTGGCTTTGCTCTCCGAGCTGACCCACTTCGATGTGGGGAATGTGGTCATTGCGCTGAGCTCCGGCGCCAAGATCGCGGATGAACGGACCAATCCCGGCAAAATGTGACATGCTGTGACTTAAAATGTGGTGGAGGCCATCGCTAGTAGGGTGGAGGCCATCGCTGGTAGGGTGGAGGCCATTGCTAGTAGGGTGGAGGCCATTGCTAGTAGAGTGGAGGCCATCGCTAGTAGGGTGGAGGCCAT